CTTAAAAACATACCCAAAGGCCAATTCCTTAGAATACATAGAAACTGTGACAGATTGGAGGATTATCATTGTCAAGTAGAAGTTCTTTAAAAGAGATTTCTAGAAAGAGGATACACTAAACCTTTGTTGGAGGCAGCCACCAAATGACAGCCAACGTGGATAGATCATCTTTGCTGGCTGCTAAGAATAGGAAGAGGCCTGGTAACGTTTGCCCTTTTATCACTAATTTTACCATCCAACATAGAGAAATAGTTAAGATTTTTAAGAAAAAATGGGGTGTCTTGTGGAATGATCCAGTGTTGGCATGTTTTTTTACCTTTCATCTTTCGCAAGGCACCTTCTTTGAGGAATAAAATAGCTGCTACTATACTAGGTCCTCGAATTGAAATCTATTTTTTTTTCTCATTTGAAGGTTTTTTTTTTTCTTGTAATAAATGTATGATCTGTAATTGTGAGGGCAGTCGGAGAAGGAAACTGGAATCCTTTATGTGCCACTCCACTTATGAGATAGAAACTCTGATTACTTGCAATATTCGATATGTGGTATATCTCCTGGAATGTGCTTGCAAGAAGCAGTACATATGGAGAAACACTAGAAGGTTGAGAGACCATCTTAGAGAACATCTTTATAATATCAATATCTACTTTAAAGCAGGCTGTCAAGCCTAAGAGTGGTAAGTTTTAAAGACATCCCCCATTTTTAACATCAATATACCACCTGGGGAGACCTGTGCCTTTCGCTCTGAAACGTGATCTGCTTCCATCCAAGGCCTAATGGCAAGTAACCCTTTAACTTCTCCCTGTTATCTTTTTGCTGTGCTGTGCTGTTTTCTATGTATCTATATATCTCTTAGTTACATCTTCTCTGTAAATATTTTATTGCACCTGTTTGACCCTTTTAGTAATAAATCTCTCTTTCTGAAAGTGTTGAACTGTTTCTATAGCTCTTAATTGCAATTTACGAATCCCTGCCTTTAAAGAGACGCTACTGTTTGTTTTAACCCTCTGTATAACAGGCCTGAATTATGACCAGGTTATGCAGTCGATTATATCAACCATTATAGTGTTATAGCTGAGCGCCGAGTTTCCTCTTTCTCTGATCAAAAAAGAGGTGGTGGCAGTGTGAAGGGGTTAATTGCGTAATTAACCTGACCCAGTAACAATCGATTCAGGCTGCTGGCACATCGATCAGTATCCATTAGCTGGAAAATCATTGTGCAGGGTGCAGCTGGGTGTGGCATCGTTACGCACGTCACATCGCAGTTGTAGATCGGCCAGTCCTTCGGTCACGAGTTTGGCGAGAAGGTCTGGAGTCTGACACCGCGATCGTGACACCTATTGCATTTTATTTATTTAGATTTATGTTATGTAATATGCTTTTTAAATAGTCTGCCCCCCTTTTTTCATTAATTCTGGCTTAAATTAGTATCTGTTTTTATTAATTCCCTTTTTTCTTTTATTTATTATAATTTTATTTATATTTTCCCTTTCAATGTTACATTGCTGTAGCTGGGGCTTTTCTCTGTCCTTCATGTTGTGGTTTATAGAACCATTGAGAAAATGGCATCCCGGCTCATAGGAGCTTGTTTTAAATGTAAGTTAGTTCTGGTCTACTGCAAAATGGCGCCCATTGATCAGTGTGCCTGCAGGCTATTTAAGAGGTGTACAATGATGGCGTCAGTATAAGGTGTGTCCCTTTGAAAATGTGTGTATGCTTGAAACGCGTCAGGGAGGAGCCTACGTGGTGACGTCACTCCGCCAAGTCCATGGTTATGGTCTCGTGGCCATTTTCTATCTCTTCACGTGGATGTGTTTGTTCCTTTTTACAACAAATTACTACACTATGTACCACAATTTCTGGGCTCCAATTCGTGAGCTTTCCTTTAGCATTCATCTATGCAAGACCGGCATGTCATTGCTATACTGAAGGAGCCGCACAGTTCTGTTCACAGCCTGATTCATTTTATTTCTGGTGAGTGCATATTGGTGGAGGATTGTCACAGTAGTCTTTTATACACAAATATCAGTTCACCTCATGATTGTTTGTGAATACAGTTGCAGTTCAAGGATCATTTGCTACACTCAAGGACACTTCACTTGGTACTTTTTTGATTGTTTAGTATCATTTATTTATTTGTTTATACATGTTTATTACTTTGACAAATGTTCACACTTACATAATGGCATATATATAGTGCTGCACTCATGATTGTATAATCAAACACTATTGATTGCTCAGTTCTCCCCTCCGCTCTGAGAAGAGAGCCGGGACTGTCAGTCACCGACTCTCTGCTTTGCCCCTCCAGTGCTTTGGCTATACTTCTCCTTTAAGTAGTGGATGTCTATGGATTATTTTTGGAGAATAAAGATATAAATAAAGACATAATGCCTCATTTTAATTGCAAGCTCTTGTGCTGCTACTGGCCTCTTTATTATAAATATTAGGTATATCATTATGGCTAAATGTAATAACTCATATATATATTTCCTCCTGCTATGGATTGTGCTTATTATATAACGTCCTTAGTTCTGGCATGTTTGAGCTTCTCTCCAGTGTTTACTATTTTCAATAAAAATGAATATCAAACAAGCAACCTCAAAATACATTTCAGCATCTGTAATGAATTCTTGTACGACGTTAGCTTTAAAAAGGAAAAGAAAGAGAAAAAAAAAATCCACAAATTTTTCATTCCACACCTCACATCAGTTCCCAGCAGGGGCGATTGGAAGTACTTCGTGTCTCCATTTACAAACCCCCCCCATTGGTGCCTGCTGTTTTCTGCTGAATGAAAATGTGTTTTGCGTTTTTTTTCTTCATTTTTTTTTTTAGTTTCTACATTTTTATTTTATATTATTTTTTTTTATTATTGTAGCTACAAATAAACCTATCCACTTACTTTAAGTGTGTTTGAAAGTAGCTTCAGATTTTAGAATCATTCTCTAGCAAAACAGGTCACAGGAAACAGGGCTATTTGCAATTTTAACCCGGGATGAACTGTTCCTTAACATTCTTGGATGTTTTTCCAGACATTTTTGCCGTTGTTTTATCTTGTCGGCATTTTATGATTCAATTTGCAATATGGATTTTGTTGCAGGAAAATTACCTCAGAGCTCAAGGTTTTTTGAGTCATCTAAACAGAATGCAGCTTTTATGCTGCCGCTAAACAGATAGGCCTCAGTTGGAAGCAATAAGAAAAGTATATATATATATATATATATACTGCTCAAAAAAATAAAGGAACACTTTGAAAACACATCAGATCTCAATGGGGAAAAATCTCCTGCTGGATCTCTATACTGATATGGACTGGGTAATGTGTTAGGAACGTAAGGATGCCCCATCGTTTGATGGAAATAAAAATGATCAACCTACAGAGGACTGAGTTCAAAGACACTCTGAAAATTAAAGTGAAAAAATGATGCAGCAAGCTAGTACATTTTGCTGAAATTTAATTTCAGCACTCAAAATGGTCCTCAGTAGTTTGTATGGCCCCCCCGTGCTTGTATGCATGCCTGACAATGTCGGGGCATGCTCCTAATGAGACGACGGATTGTGTCCTGGGGTGTTTCCTTCCAGATATGGACCAAGGCATCATTTAGCTCCTGGAGAGTCTGAGATGCAACCTGGCATCGTAAGATGGACCAAAACATGATATCCTAGAGGTGTTCTATTGGATTTAGGTCAGGCGAGTGTGGGGGCCTTTCAGTGGTTCCTTCATCCTCCAGGAACTGCCAGGTATACTCTCGACACATGAGGCTGGGCATTGTCATGCACCAGGAGGAACCTAGGACCCACTGCACCAGCATAGGGTCTGATAATGGGTCTAAGGATTTCATCCCGATATGTAATTGGCAGTCAGGGTGCCATTGTCTAGCCTGTAGAGGTCTGTGAATCCCTCCATGGATATGCCTCCCCAGACCATCACTGTCCCACCACCAAAACGGTCATGCTGAACGATGTTACAGGCAGCATAACATTCTACACGGCTTCTCCTGACCCTTTCACGTCTGTCTCATGTGCTCAGGATGAACCAGCTATCATCTGTGAAAAGCACAGTGTGCCAGTGCTGTACCTGCCAATTCTGGTGTTCAATGGCAAATGCCAATCGAGCTCTATGGTGCCAGGCAGTGAGCACAGGGCCCAGTAGAGGATGTCGGGCCCTCAGGCCACCCTCATGAAGTCTGTTTCTGATTCTTTGGTCAGAGACATTCACACCAGTGGCCTGCTGGAGGTCATTTTGTAGAGCTCTGGTAGTGCTCATGCTGTTCCTCCTTGCAGATACCGGTCCTGCTGATAGGTTAAGGACTTTCTACAGCTCTGTCCAGCTCTCCTAGGGTAACTGCCTGTCTCCTGGAATCTCCTCCATGGTCTTGAGACTGTGCTGGGAGACACAGCAAACCTTCTGGGAACAGCACTCCTGGAGGAGTTGGACTGCCTGTGCAACCTCTGTCGGATCCAGGTATTGCCACATGCTACAAGTAGTGAAAAACAGTCAGAAAAGAGGAGTAGGGAAAAACATGTCAGTAACCTCCACCTGTAAAACCATTCCTGTTTTGGGGGTCGTCTCATTGTTGCCCATGTAGTGCACCTGTTGTTAATTTGATGAACAGCAACGCAGCTGAAACTGATTAACAACCCCCTCTGCTACCTAACTGACCAGATAAATATCCCAGGAGTTTAATTGACTTGATTGTATACCTTTAATTCCTTTAATTTTTTGAGCAGTGTATATATATATATATATATATATATATATATATATATATATATATATATATATTTACTTATTTATTTTTTAGATGCGAGGGACCAGAAAAAGCTCGCATTCTATGGAAGAACCTCATCCTATAGCAGAAATAACGCTACAGGGGTGCCCAAGATCATGTTGCAGTTCCGGGAAGGGGAGCGCCACCAATAGCTGTCGATCATTGGTTCCTGGCCGGTGATTACTCGCCGTCACCTGGTGATCACTGAGTATTACCAACGGGGGAGAGAACTGTATGTAAACAATACAGTTCTTTCCCCTGTCAGCTCCTGCACACTGCTTTGTATGTGTGCCGTGTGCTTACAGTGGGAAGCACACACAGAGCACACAGTTAACCCCTTCCTGCCCAGTGTCATTAGTACAGTATTAGTGCTTTTTCATAGAACTGATCACTGTATTGGTGTCACTAGGGATGTCAGTGACACCAAGTCAGTTCTCCCCAGTGTCAGAATGCCTGCCACAGTCCCACTATATGTCGCTGATCGCCGCCATTACTAGTAAAAAAAAAAATTCCAGTATATATACCTCCATTTGTAAATGCTATAACTTTCACGTAAACCAATTAATTTACACGTATTGGGATTTTGTTTTAGCAAAGACATGAAGCAGAATACATTGTGGCCTAAATTTATGATGAAATTTGATTTTTTAAATTTTTTTATTGGATATGTTTAATAGCAAAAAGTCAAAAATATTGTTTTTTTTTCTCAAAATTGTCAGTTTTTTTGTTTATAACGCAAAAATTAAATACTGCACAGGCGATCAAATACCACCAAACGAAATCTCCATTTGTGGGGAAATAAAAAAAAAATTTAATTTGAGTGCAGCGTTGCATGACCGTGCAATTGTCAGTTAAAGTAACATAGCGCCGTAACGCAAAAAATGACCTGATTAGGAAGGGGGGTAATTCCTCTGGAGGGCAAGTGGTTAATTATGCTTTACTAGATCTTCTGCTTCATGATTATACCCAAAAAAAATCCACATTTTAACCTGCTCACGTCGGAAGTTACATATTTATGCCTCTCAGTGGGTGGGCTTTAATGCCGAGAAGCTGCATATATGTGCCAAATCCAATCCAAATCCAATCACTGTCCAAATCTTGTAGACTTCACCTCCGCAACATCTCCAAGATACACCCGTTCCTAACCTCGGAAACCAATAAGCAACTTATTCACTCCCTTGTTATATCTCACCTTGACTATTGTAACTCCCTCCTCATTGGCCCACCTAATCGCAGGCTATCCCCTCTTCAGTCTATCATGAATGCTGCTGCCAGATTCATCCACCTTACTAACCATTCTGTCGCAGCCAATCCCTCCAATCACTGGCTTCCCATTGCCCAACGGATAAAATTCAAAACATTAACAATAACGTATAAAGCCATTTATAACTCTGCCCCAAATTACATCACTGATCTAGTCTCTAAATATCACCCAAACCGTACTCTCTGCTCCTTGCAAGACCTACTCTCTAGCTCCCTTGCTCATCTCCAGGACTTCTCCAGAGCTTCCCCCATCCTCTGGAACTCTCTACCCCAATTTATCAGACTAACGTCTACTCTGCTCACTTTTAGGTGATCTCTGAAAACCTGTCTCTTCAGGGAAGCCTATCCTGCCCTCGGCTAATAATGGAATCTTCTATTCCTCCTACCAGTCCATCCCCCACAGTTACTACCTTTTGTACCACTAGCTCCTCCCTCCTAGATTGTAAGCTCCAATGAGCAGGGCCCTCCTTTCCCTCTTGCATTGAACTGTATTGTTGCTGTATTGTCTCCCATTATATTGTAAAGCGCTGAGCAAACTGTTGGAGCTATATAAATCCTGAATAATAATAAGTGTCCCAAATGTAAGCATTTTCGTGTTGAGAGCAGGGGCGGACTGACGATTTGGAAACTCGGGCACTGCCCGAGGGCCCAGGGTCAGTAGGGGGCCCCATGAGATGCCCCTGGTACCTTTTTCATAGGCTTTTTTTAGTTTGGGCAAGGACACAGGGGCCCCATGATCCCCTATTGCCCGGGGGCCCCATGAGTTGTCAGTCCGCCCCTGGTTGAGAGAGTGTACCATGCCCATTCCCAGCACACTTACTTGTGGGTACCGGAAAGCTCCTGATGCCTACTTGTGATGGGGAGTATCTGAGTATCTGTGACTGTCAATCACAGCGGTCACAGCGGAATGCCCGCATATGCCTCCCAGCATTTAGAACCTCTTAAAGGGCCAGGAGGGGGTTAATATTGCTCAAAAGTGCAAAAACTGTGAGCAGCAGAACCCCTATCCCATTGCTTTGTAGACATCTAACGAAAAGTAAGCTGGGGTTGCATGTCTAATTATTTGCTAAATTTGAGTGTGCATTTGCACAAAGCAATTTCTATATTTCTATATTTCTCCAAGCCGCTTCCCCACAAAGTTTTCAATATTCTTCTTAGTGAAAGAAAAAAAAAAAAAAAAGACATCTTCATCCGTATCATGGGATGTCACTTCTGTGCCTTGTGCTAATGACGCATGAGCAAAGGTGTCACAGTATCTTAATCAATGAGCAAGTAACATATATTATAGATGACACATGTCTATTACCCATTGCTGCCCCTTAGCTATTTATCAGTCTGCGGGAAAAGCACTGGCAGTGCCGCCGTTCCGATCATTAGAACAAAAAGCACAGTTGAAAAGCAGAAGGCAAATGTGACTGATATCTTGGGTGCGTGCTGTCGTACTTCCCCACAACTTCCTACATGCCTCAGTGGAGCCCAGTCACGAACAGTGGATAATATGTCAGATGCTATTATCTGACAAACACTACAAATGGAGGAGAGATACAAGCTGACACTTTCAATTATTGTCCAGTGGCTCTGGGTATACGGTATGTATGGTTAGTGAAGATCTTTTTTTTTTTTTTTCCTCTCGTGTATTGGCTAAGTACCTACTCATCTCTTTTTCTGGGTTCACAGGAAGCAGATCTTGGCTATTATCACATTGCTTTCACTGATAACAATTTGTGTATTCTCAAGATGGTATGATGAAAGGAAAAAGAGCTGATGCTGGGGGGTCTTAAAGCGAATTTTCCAATTTTGTAGTCAAATTTGAAAAAAAAAAAAAACACTATGGGGGGATTTACCAAAATGACATGGTGCAAAATCTGGTGCTGGATCTGCATGAAACCAATCAGCTTCCAGGTTTTATTGCCAAACACTATGGGGGGGAGGGTCTTAAAGCGTATTTTCCCATTTTGTAGTCAAATTTTAAAAAAAAACCCACTATGGGGGGATTTACCAAAATGACATGGTGCAAAATCTGGTGCTGGATCTGCATAGAAACCAATCAGCTTCCAGGTTTTATTGCCAAAGCGTAATTGAACAAGTTGAAGTTAGAATCTGATTGGCTGCCATGCACAGCTGTACCAGATTCTGAATGCTCCAGTCTGTGTTCTATGTTATGTGTTCCCAGGGCTGCTGTTAGAAACCATGTACCCCATACAGCCAACCTGACAGGGTCCCCTTAACAAAAAAACATTTTACTATGCTTCAGTTCTGAATGAACACAGTGAGTGATAGCTACCGATCGCTCACTGTGTTCATTCAGGAAAGGAAGAGGCTGGTAAACGTGACATATATACAGGACACTTCCCCCACTCTCAATCCTGAGGGATCCTATTGTTTGCTTGCAGCTGCCAGTGGGAAGGAGAGGAGGGGGGGCAGTAGCACTGCGGGGAGCTTGGGCAGCAGGGGGAAATGTATGATACACGGGGAGGGTGATGGGTGTGGCAGGGAGGCAATTGCTGGAACCGATCCCCTGTATGGCTCTCTCTGCAGCAGCTGAAAGCCAGTGAGAGGGAGAGGAGAAAAAGCCAGCTTTCAGCTGCTGCAGAGAGAACCATTCAGGGGATCAGATCCAGAAATTGCCCCCTGCCGTGCCAATCACCCTCCCTGCCCACATCTGATTCACCCAGCTGCCTGGGCCCCCCTGCTGGCCTGGGCCCCGTACAGGAGGACTGGTGGTACCCCCTTATCCACGACCCTGTGTGTTCCCACTCACATTGCATACCTATTTTTTTCAATATTTCTTAAAGTGGAACTGCACTGCATCTGAGCACCACAAACCAAAAATGCTATTTAGTTCATTGTCAACCACTTGAGGATTTACCCGCCTTCCTGACCAGGCCATTTTTTGCGTTACGGCACTGCTTTATTTAACTGACAATTGCGCGGTCATGCAACACTGCACCCAAATGAGATTTACATTATTTTTTTCCCAAGAATTGAGCTTTCTTTCAGTAGTATTTGATCGAATGTGCGTTTTTTATTTTTTGCGCTATAAAAAAAAGACCAACCATTTTGAGAAAAAAAAAACAATATTTTTGACTTTTTGCTATTAAACATGTCCAGTAAAAAAAATGTAAAAAAATCATATTTCGTCATAAATTTACACCAAATTGTATTCTGCTCCATGTCTTTGCTAAAAAAAATCCCAATATGTGTAAATTAATTGGTTTAAATGAAAGTTATAGCGTTTACAAATGGTGGTATAGATAATGGAATTTATTATTTGTATTAGTAATGGCAGCGATCGGCTACTTATAGAGGGACTGTGGCAAACATTCTGATACTGGGGGGAACTGAATTGGTGTCACTGACATCCCCAGTGATACCAATACAGTTGTCAGTGCTAAAAAAAAGCTCTGACACTGTACTAATGGCACTGCGCAGGAAGGGGTTGACATGAGGGGCAATCAAAGAGTTAACTGTGTGCAGGGAGTGTTTTACTAGGGGGCGGTGTCAGTGTGCTTCACTGTAATCACACTGCTCTGGATGGCTGTGCTGTGCACAACCATCCAGATCAGTGTGCCCGAGTTGACAGAGAGGAGAACTGTCAGTAAAAAAAACAGTCCTCTTCCCCATCGGAGATCTTCGGAAATCACCAGACACTGGCGAGTAATTACTGGCGGGAACCCGGTGATTGACAGCCGCGAATGACAGTGCGGGTAGGGTTCGCATGCGCCCTCTACCCCGAAATGCAAAATCATATGTATATATATATATATATATATATATATATATATATACATATACCATATACAGTTTGTAGTAGTATTTCTGCTATTGGGTGGATGGGAAGCAGTCAATATTCAGAGCAAACTCCCCCATCCATCCAAAGCTCTATGCTTTATTTTGCTGAGAAATTATTTTGAAAAACTACCCCTGGTATTTCTAGCAGTGGCCATCTTGTGTATTGGCAAATGATTCATGTAACATTTATTTCCTGGAATCCATCTGCCCTTAGCTCAGGCATTGGCTGAGCTGAGAACCCTCCCCTCCTGAAGACTGCAGGGATGTATGACATCATTTGCCTAGGCATGGAAATCAGGAATTAACTGAAGAAATGTAAATAAAAAAGTTTAAAACAAGTAAAAAGGATACACTCCTATTTATTAATGCTAGCAGCATAAAAATTGACAATAGTCCATGTTGATTGAAAGGGTGAAGTTCCACTTTAACTTTTAAATGTTTCCTGAAAAGCAACTCCACATTTGTTGAGGAAAGAGCGCACCCCCTCTGGGTGATTAAATATACATTGCAGGGACTTTAACAAACTTTGTTGCAGATTCCTACCTGTTTCTGCTCTGAAGAAATAGCTGTTTGTTTGTGAAATGAAATAAAGCTTGTGAGCTGCTATAATAGGCTCTTCCATGAACAAACATCAAACTGTCCAAAAAAAATTAATAATAAATAATATAAAAATAAAAATAAATAACAGACTTATCAACAAAAGTGTAATATATAGGTATCCTGTACCAGCTGCTAAGCACACAATGCTATTGCCATACTGACCAGCAAACAATTCTAAATAAAAATATATAAACAGTGCAGCGCTGTTTGTTTGTCTATGTCCATGCGCAAAATGAATGTGAATGGGAGTGACTTTTTCATTACTGATCGGCTGTTGCCTTTGCAGTGTTCTGATAAGGAAAGGTGAGGGTCTGCACAGGGGCGGACTGACAACTCATGGGGCCCCCCGGGCAATAGGGGATCATGGGGCCCCTGTGTCCTTGCCCAAACTCAAAAAAGCCTATGAAAAAGGTACCAGGGGCATCTCATGGGGCCCCCTACTGACCCTGGGTCCTCGGGCAGTGCCCGAGTTTCCAAATGGTCAGTCCGCCCCTGGGTCTGCATCTCTATAGATGTGATTAACATATAAAGCCATTTATAACTCTGCCCCCAATTACATCACCAATCTTGTCTCCAAATATCACCCAAACCATACTTTCCGCTCTACACATGACTTCCTGCTCTCTAGCTCCCTTGTCTCCTCCTCCCATGCTCGTCTCCAGGACTTCTCCAGAACTTCCGCCTTTCTCTGGAACTCTCTACCCCAATTTATCAGACTCTACTCACTTTTAGGCGATCTCTGAAAACCTATCTCTTCAGGGAAGCCTATCCTGCCCTCAGCTAATGATGGAATCTTCTACTCCTTCTACCAGTCCATCCCCCATAGTTACTACCTTTTTTACCACTTGCCCCTCCCTCTTAGATTGTAAGCTCCAAGGAGCAGGGCCCTCCTAACCCTCTTGTATTGAACTGTATTGTTGCTGTATTGTCTCCCGTTATATTGTAAAGCACTGAACAAACTGTTGGTGCTATATAAATCCTGTATAATAATAATAATAATTAACCCTTTGGGAGTATCTCACCAAAACGGAACTTTTGTTACAGAGGATGTGAAGGTGCCCAAAAATAGGTATGTTATCTTAGTGCAAACGTCTTGGAAAATCAGTGAGCCAATCACACAAGCAAATACATATGTGGGAAGGAGGAGGGGTGGGCTTACCTACACCATCTGTATACAGAACACTTCCATTGCATAGAATTTTACAGAAATCTACAGCAATAGGATTTGATTGACAGCAGCAGGAGCCAATGGCTCGTGCTGCTGCTAAGCCTCCTGTGAAAAAGGGGAGAGAAGAGCAGCACTGTAGCAGGTGGACACAGTGCTGGATCAAGATCGGTCTTAGGTAAGTATTTAAGGGGGTGGGGGCTGGGGGGGGACCTGACATAGAAAACTTTAACTTACTGTAGAGAATGCATTAAGGTAAAATCCATTTTGTCCTTACAACCACTTTAAATGTAAAGCTTACCGGATTTAATATACTGTAAGGTGAACCTATACTAGATGTGTGGGATTGTCCATCTCACCACCAATTAATAAACAGTAATGAATGTCTGCAGTTAATTATGTCACAATATACATTATTGTGTTTGTAATTTCTCCTGTGCATTCCGGTGCAGCCTAAACTAAATGGAGAGGCTTCTGTTTGCACAAAGTATTTTGTAGATAAAGACAGACTATTGTTCACATTATCTCGGCTGAACCATCTCAGCTTTGCAGGGTCATTGAGGTCCCAGCTTTCATCGGCCATCGATAATTAGATGACATCACTTGGGGAAAAAAAGTGTCCTGAGATATTTAAGATAAGATAGACAAACATGTCAATCATTGCTGGCTATGACCTTGGAATATAGTAACCTTGAACCTTTTACAAAAAAAAAAAGACTATTTAACCCTGTTGAAAGCATTAGAGGGAATGTCTCATCTTTGTTTGTACTGGTTTACAATTTGTAAAAAATATTATGAAAGGTTCTTAATATTTTGAAGTTCTTAATATATTGAAAATATTAAATATATAGGATTTTTTTTAGTTTGCATGAACATGGAAAACAATATTTCTTTTTTAGCAGCTTCCCTACCACTCTGTAGCAGAACTACTGCTACAGGGTGGCAGGGCTGCGTAAAATCATGCATTTCCAGGTAGGGGGCGCACGCCACCCTACCTGCGCTGCCATTGGCAGCTACAGATGTCAATCACCGGGTCCCGGCCAGAGATTCCTCGCCGGCATCCGGCGATCGCCGAGTATCACTGACAGGCAAGAGACCTGTGTGTAAACAACACTGGTCTCTCTCCTGTCAGTTAGGACATGCTGCTGTGTATCTCTCTGCACAGCAGAGAAATACACAGCAATATGTCTCCCTAGTAAAACACAAACAGCACACTTAGTAGAACAGCACACAGTTAACCCTTTGATCACCCCAGATGTTAACCCCTTCCTGCCCAGTGTCATTAGTACAGTGTCAGTGCTTTTTATTAGCACTGATTACTGTATTAGTGTTATTGGGATATCAGTGGCAGTTAGTTAGTTGCCCCCCAGTGACAGAATGGCCGCCACAGTCCCGCAGTCCCGCTATAAGTCGCTGATCGCTACCATTACTAGTATAAAAATTAAACAAAAAAATTCCAGTATATATACCGCCATTTGTAGACGCTATAAACATTCACGTAAACCAATTAATTTACACGTATTGGAATTTTATTTGGCAAAGACATGGGGCAGAATAGAATTTGGCCTAAATTTATGACGAAATTTGATTTTTTAGATTTTTTTACTGGACATGTTTTATAGCAAAAGTCAAAAATATTGTTTTTTTTTTTCAAAATTGTCGTTTTTTTTTTTTTGTAGCGCAAAAAATAAAAAATGCAGAAGTGATCAAATACCACTGAAAGAAAGCTCTATTTGTGGAAAAAAAGGACATAAATTTCATTTGGGTGCAGCGTTGCATGACCACTCAATTGTCAGTTAAAGTAACGCAGCATCATATCGCAAAAAATGGCCTGGTCAGGAAGGGGAGTAAAGTGATTAGTAGTGCAATGTATATACCAAATAGTGCTCAGATATTGTTGGTTATTCTGATTAATTATTATTATTATACAGGATTTATATAGTGCCAACAGTTTGCTCAGCACTTTACAATATAAAGGGAGACAATACAGCAACAATACATTTCAGTACAGAAGGAATAGGAGGGCCTGGCTCATGGAGCTTACAATCTAAAAGGAGGGGAGGTGGTACAAAGGTACTAGCTGCAGGGGAGGATCTGATGGAGGTGACTCAAGTACAGTTCTTAGGTGGAGGTGGGGTAGGATTTCCTGAGTAAATGAGTTTTCAAGGATAACCTAAAGGCGGACAGGGTAGAATCATTTGGTCACTTGAAGCTGAACAATTGAAATTTTGGATGGCAGATTGTTGTATTCAAAAGTTGATATAAAGTTTGAATATTGCCAACAAAATTGACGTGAGGAAGGGGGAGACAGTGCTCATTCACAAAGAATATGCTAATAGAAGTTGAGAGCAGAGTGATGGGAAGATGAGCTCCAGCATATTCCAGCATATTCCTTGAGCACTGCAACACAGCTTATTGGCTCTTAATGCTGCTTCTCTCTCTCTGTGTCAGTACAGTGCTGTAGAGGAAGCTGCAAGAAGCAGGTATCAGCCAGATCAAAGTTAGGTACTTACAATGCTTGCATTAAAAAAGTGCAGTCTCTATAAAGGCCAATCAGTTCATGTATTGACAAGAAACATGCTGATAGGAGGAAAAATCAGAGTGACCGAGAGGCAAGCTCACCACTGTGCTGCTTCTACTTTCACTGTCCAGTCTCAGCCCCAAGGCAGCCTGGGCCCAAAGAACATGGTTAGTTCACTCATGACTGTTAAACCTGAACTCTTGCATTTTTGTAAATTACCCCTTGCTTCATACACATGAGCAGTGGCATATTTGCTGTGAGGTGAACAAGGCGTTTGCCTGTGGCGAACATTTTATGGGTGGGGACCTGGTGAAGCACTGCCAGTGATCCATCAAGCTCCGCCAGGCTCATTACTGCTGGAGTGTTTTAACAGCCTGCTTCTGTCAAGTCTGTTAGTACTTTAATTGGGTGGTTCCGGGATGGGTGGGGGTGGCAGAGAACGGTGTTGCCACTGGAAGGGGGTTGTTGGGATGTGGTGTGGGGTCAGCTGGTGGATGCGATGTCTGAGAGTTGTGGTGCTGGTTGGGTGGGGGGCACCCAATTTTAGTGTTGCTTAGGGCAGCACAATGGGTAAATACACCATTGCACATGATGGCCAGGAGTACAGCACACCCAGGATTGCACCACAAGGCAAAAAATTCTAAGCAGCAAGTTCTAATTTTCTATTGGCAGATCCCCTAAGGAGGTCTGGTAGAAGGGTGGGTGCCTCTTACACAGCATGACCTTCTTCTAATAATGTGGATTTCTCAGTTGCTAACAGGGCTACATCTACTACTAGTCCATGGATCAACCCTAGCTAGGAGCTGTGGGCCCAGTGGATGTTTAGGGGGTCCAGCTACAATCTTAATGCTCCTGCATTAAACCAGGAGGTTAGCACAATTGGCCAAAACTACAAAACTGCCTGTCACAGAAGCGATGAGCTTAGGTTTAGCTTGGGTTCGGCCTGATCCCATGTTCTTCTGAACATGGAAGGAAGCTGTCAGTGCCAGGCCAGTTAGATGCAGCTGAGGCATTCTCTGCCCTACAGATGCATATACACAAAAGGTGGAGGAAAATGCTTGATTACCCTTCTTTGGGGACATGGCCATATTAAGCCAATGATATTGACACAATATGACCAAAAAGCCTTATTAGGTCATTGACGTCATAAGAATTCCTACCCCTTTGCCTATGTACAGCTGCTGAGGCGGAATGCCTCAGCTACAGCTGATGGGCCAGATACTGGCAACTTCCTTTTAAGTGTGGACAAGCATGGGTTTGGAACAAACCAAAGCTTGTGGGGAGGTGCAGTGTGGTGCGGCAGTAGTGGCTCCGGTTAGGGCAAACTTGAAATTTGTATTAAGCAAAATGCCAATGGTACAAAACACCTGAGTGGTAGGGTGCTGCTTAGGGAGTAACTAACAGTTTAGTGCAGTCAAAGCTGTGGCTGAGAAAAGATGCTGACAATGTTTGTCTTAGAGCTGGGACGTGGCCTGGCCGGTCCATCCCAAGCAGGATGGCCTCCTGAATAGCCAGTCCCTAGTGTGTCCCCTCTCATTTGGAACCTTTCCCTATCGCTATATACTTTCACTAGCAAGTAGGGTCTCTTCCCTACACTAGTCACTCACAAAAATGAGGACCAAAACCCAAGGGCAGTGACTTATATAGACCCTGCTCAATCAAGATCGCCACCATGGGGCGTATGGCTGCAGCATAGCCAAACGGAACTCTCCACCATTGACCCAGGAAACCATAGAGAAACCATGTTTCCCTTGATTTCTTCTCCAGGCTGTGGTACCACTCAGGTTGAGCTCCACCGACAGTGAATAAAACAGCCTGCCTAGAAGCTTATCCCTAATCACAAGGAAGTATGCACTTGTAGAAAGCTGGTGTCTGATGGAGAGGGACCATGCCAACACAGGCAATGTGAATTGAGTGGATTCTCTGTGCAAACCTTAGCAGTGTCATTTATAGGGAAGGGGGGCAAAGCTCCTGTCTTGCTGGCCTACTTTCTATCTTAGTCCTTCTCTGGTCAGTGCTCATGACAGAAAGGTTAAAAGGAGCAATGCCAAACATCAAAATATACAGATGAAGATGTTTTCCTGTTTCTGCTTCTGGCAAGAAAAAAAAAAACTGTAGGAAAGGGGGGCAGGTGAGAAGAGTCATAAATGTTGGGTTTCTCATAAATAGAAGTGGAGAAAAGGTAGGTATGTATGCAGAAACATAGTAAGAATGACATACAGTATGTCTATGCATATGATATCTGTTTAGATATCTGTCAGTATGCAAGTGGCTGCAAGCGTCAAAGATACACACCAGGCATTCAGACTTGTAGTCCAGACATCGGTAGCCTATGTATTATATAATCAAACAAGAACAAGGCCGGGAGAATGTCACAATTGAAGTCATTTCTATTTCTGTCATCTTTTAATGTTCTTTTTCCTTTACAAATCTCTGGACCCCAGCTGTGTAATCACAATTAGAAGATGAGCACTTCCTGTTCCATACTAATTACAGAGCCAGTTGGTATAACAGAAAATAATGGCTCCAAAGAGGGTTTTTATTTTTACATTAGAATATTATTGCTAATATGGTTAAGGGTAATGCTAAGTAAAGTCATGCTAGTGGCGTGATGCCTCATTATGTATTTTACCGTGACATTTGTGATCTAAGCTATGCATCAAAAAGTATTATATATTTTGATTGGTTAATTTTTTTTTTTCAATGGCTTAGAAAGAGTTCATGCAAACCAGTAAAATGTAGTTGCCAGGATTACAGCTATATGCAGTCTTTCTTTATATGCAGTCTTCTGCTTCCTGGGCTTGGTAAGCAGCTTAACATTAGTAATTAACAATTTTGGTGATGCAGTGCAGGTAGGGGAGGAATTATTATTATTATACAGTACTTATATAGTGCCAATAGTTTACGTAGCGCTTTACAAAATGACAGCAGACAGTACAGTTACAATACAATTTAATACAGTAGGAATCAGAGGGCCTGCTTATTAGAGTTTACAATCTAAGGGGGTGGGAGGTGTCAAGAGATACAAAAGGAAATAATTGGGGAATGAGCTGATGGAGAAAATAAATGTACAGGAGGGTTAGGAAATTGGGTTAGGAAATTCCATAGGATGGGAGAGGCCCAGGAGAAGTCCTGGAGGCAAGCATGGGAGGAGGTGACAAGAGAGCTAAAGAGCAGGAGGTCTTGGGAGAAACAAAGAGAACAATAGGTTGGTATTTTGAGACTAGGTTAGTGATGCAGCTGGGGGCAGGGTTGTTGATGGCATTGTAAGCTATGTTAGTGTTTTGGATTTAATTCATTTGGTGAGCCAATGGAGGGATTGACAGAGAGGGGTGGCAGACACTGAACAGTTGGTAAGGTGGATGAGTCTGGCAGCAGTACTCATGATGGACTGGAGGGGGGTTAGCCTATGTAAAGGTAAGCCAATGAGGAGAGAGTTGCTGTAGTCGAGGTGAGAGATAACCTGGGAGTGAATTAGGATCTTTGTGTAGGAAACTGCACAACCAGACCAGAAGGGTTATTATTCTGCTGTATTTTAGGTATGTGTTTGTCTATCAGTGTAACTGTTCAATCACACATATATGAGCATACATTCTTTGCACTATTAGTAGGCATACAGTCTGTTATACGAGTCTGTAACAAAAATAATACAAACATGGATTTACAGTAACTTTTTAATAACTTACATAGGTTGTTCAAATTTTACATGTTGGTAGAGTAACCCTTCCTCTTTAGTAACTCTTCTTCTTCATTTTAATCGCTGGTAAATAATGGATTCCAAGCAGAGGCAACGTGGCATCAAGGAAAGGAAGGGTACAGACTGTCGGAGATGACACCATTGAATAGAGTCACCAACAACAAGTCATTGCTCTTTT